TGCTCCCCACTCTGTCTCTGGTGAAGCCTCTCACCCTCCACAACTCTGGCCTGTACCCCAGTTCTGTATGAATAAATAAATAAAATCTTTAAAAAAAAATTTTTTTACTCATACAACTTTTCTAAGTATGTTTTGGTTTGTATCTTGATGAATACAGAGATGCTAGGAGACTTCATATTTTGCACAAGGAAGTGCTTTCCACTTCCAGTTCTTGTCGGAAAGGTGGCATATAATATGGTGTTCAGGTTTGGGAACTGTATTCGTGGAACTAAATTACTCCTTAACTAGAAAAAAAATTTTTTTTTAGTAACTAAATCCTTATCCCATCATTTCATAAATGACCTTTATAATAAAGGGAAAATAATTATTTGCAGGATAAAGTGTTTTGTGTATTTAGCTTTTATGCTAGTGATATTGCATAACATCCAAATAACTAACCAGAATGTTAACTCTTACTGTTTTGTTGCTTTTGAGGGCATTTTAATTACAGGAATTTATTTGAATCATCAGTTTTACTGTTAGAGCCCAAGCATTCTCATGGGCTTATGGGAATATATGCCACCAGGCAGTAGATTAATAACTATAAAAAAACCACATGAAAAGGTCACTGCAAATCTCAGATCAAAACTTGTGGTTTTCTGGATTTTGCAACCTACCAACTTTCTGAAGCTTCTCTCTAGTAACATGATCTTTACGGCAACAGCGCTGAGCTACAGACACAATAATGAAGACAGCCCAGAAGAGCCCCACTCGTCCAACAACCCAACCTTCACCTGATAAGGGGGAGGGGATGAGCAATATGAATGCATTCGAACAGATGAGCCGAGCCCTCTCTTGCCGATGCATATGACAGAAAAATAAGATAGTGAAGGAGGCTCTTTTGTTCTCCAAAAAGATTGGACAAACAGACTGGCTTGGAGCCTGGACCACAACACTTGGGAGGGCTCTTTATGGAGAACCACAGCAGAAAAGAATTCCCTTTGCTGGTGAGTTCTTCTGTGCTTTGCAGGGTCATTCCTGCAGTGTTTGAATTATTCTCTCCAATCAGCTAACCGCCCCCAACTGGCAGCCCCACCTCACCCCCACTCTCCTGACTTTAAACATGTGTTATTGGAAACAGGGCAACTTGGGGAACTTGAATTTGGGCACTGGGGACCAAATTATCAGCCTATTCTGTACTTCCGTAGAATACTCAAGAAGTTAACCACAGTGATTCTGGCTTCACTTGGCCCTCAAAGTTTGTATAATAAAGACTTGGAAAATGGAAAATACATTCAGAAATTGAGCCAAAAATCAAGTTCAGTGGGAGATCGTTCAAAAGGAATAACCAATGGAAAGGCATGGCTCCTTCAAACGCACGCTGTCTGTGGCCCAATGACTTACAAATGTGCTCTTTGGGGCCAAGTTTTTGATAAGTCAGATCTGTTGGTGCTGGTGTAAAGGGGCAAAAACTGTCTCATTTCCTGAACTAGACTCTCTCATCCACTGCACTCTCCAGATCTGTTCCCTCGTCCCTTCTATCTCCCACCTCTCATGGGAACAAAGTCCCCAGTCTCAGGAAAGTAATGCTAGGAAAACAAACACTACAAAGACTCGTAACAGGGGGATATTTCTCTTGAATGTTTTTTGTGACCATCTAGGTTCATGGAGGCAGGGTCCCCCAACTACGTGAGCCAGCAGGGTCTCTTTGTAGTAGGCATCCGTGTGTTTAGCCAGATGTCCTCCCAGCGGAGGGCAAAAAGGGAAAGATAAAACAGGATTCTTATTAAAAATAAGTCTAGGGGGGAGAAAAAACAAGACAAAGAAAGTGTGTCAAGTGGAAAGGGAGGCCAGGCAGTGCCATCTGATATTGATTAAATGCTGATACAGTCAGCGAGGAGAAATGCACATCATGAGGTGAGGACCCTGCTGTGCAGAATGTGAACCAGTGACAACTGTCTGGGCGCAGGTCCACCTAAGTACTCATGTGCAGCTCCCCAGGGCAAACAGCATTTGCACACATGACAAGGAGAGGAAGGAAAGACCATGGCATTGGGAGCAGGACCTGGCCTTACTGTCCCATCAGTCATACCATGCTTGTACCCCAGATGTCTCATCTACCATAATCTCCACTCTGACCAGATCTCTAAGGCTCTTCTAATGGAATGTAGGAAATAGTCCTGGAGAGGTAAAAAGAGCTCACCACTATCGTACTAAAATCCAAAGGATTGAACCTCCCCTCCCCCCCATACCATCAACCATAAAAATGTTCTTCAATGAGCCCCGTGTCTGTTATGCCTCTGTATTTTATAGTTGTCACCACAGCAAGTTTAGTATCTCTGAACATGAACTGTTGCATGTTTGTGCTTCTGCCTTTCTCCATTCCCAATTCCAAAAATATTTTCACTACTACTCAATTACGGGATCTTTATTTTAAACTAGCAGCATGTAGAGACCCAAGAACTGATGAGGAAGTGAATGAGGGAGTCTGCCGGTGTGTCTATGTGTTCCTTCTTTTGTGAGCCATTGAAGATCTTTTTGTGTTTGTTTTCTTTTTTGGCATTGTTCCAAGACAACAGTATTTTAGTACAGGGTGAAGCTGGATTCCAATGGGAATGGAAGAATAAGTTTCTACTGAGGTTGAAGGATCTCACTAGGATGATGGTAGTGGAAATGAAAAAGAGTGACCCAAGAGAGGTACCAGGGTATAGTGGAGAGATCATGTGCCAGACAGACCCAGGTGTGAATCCTGGCTGGGTGTTGGGATTTCATTTTACCTCTCACTATTGGGCTTCCATGCAGGGTTATTATATGGATTAGTACTGCTGTGTGTAAAGAAACTAGCTCAGAAATGGGCACAGTGTGCGGTGAGTGAACATCAGTAACAGGCTGAACTGATCACAGGAAAGTTAGCAGAGTCTAGTGAATTAGAGAATAGCTGACTGAATTAGAGAATATATGGACAGAAGAATTAGCGAGCAATCACAGTTGCCTTTTAGTATAATTACTTGGGGGACTGGGATAGTAGTTTCTAGGTTGGATGGAAATAAGAATGTTGGGTAAATTGTTTGGAAAGGCTAGTACCAGGTCAGTTTAGGACATGAGAGGTGACGCTGAGATATCCAGGTAGCAGTTCAAGGCTAGAAAGAAAAAGGGATCAAAGAAATAGGAAAACTGATACGGAGAATCTGACTTACTCTAGGACTGTTTGATCACTAAATCTGATATTATCCGTAAGGAATCAGCTCACCAAGCATTCATCCAGCATAACCATCTTCTAAGCCATAGCTCCTTAAACTATGTTTCTCCGACTAAGGACCACCAGGACCTCGTTAGAAATGTAGAATCTTAGCTCCTACCTCAGATGTACCGAATCAGAATCTGTGTTTCAACAATGTGATTTGCAAGTACGCTGATAGCACCATTCTGAAGCTCAGTCTCCAGACGAGCAGCATTGGGGTACAGGCCAGAAATGCAGGGGTGTGATGAGAGGATTCACCAGAGTGGGGAACAGAACAGGCAGATCAAGTACACTGGTGAGAGGAGCAGCAGGCAGGTCAGGAGAGGTCTGCTGTGCCATGTGGATCACCTGTGGGACGGGGGACCGAACTCATGCTGAAGTGGCTTTAGCTTCTTAGTGCTGTGTTTCAACCTGCTGCACCACCAGGGAGGGCCAGAAACACTTATGAGCCCTTCAGGTGAGTCCAGCGCACCCCAGAATTCGAGTAGGACTGTCCTAAGTCATGGAACAGACATGTTGAACCCCTTCCCCCCTACTCTGCACCTCGACTCTATAGCCCAGAATACAGGAGGGATTGGTGAACCCGGAAAGTCATTGTTCTGTGCTGTTCCTGTCATCATTTTGCATTAAACACAGCTGAAGAACTCTTCACTAAAGAGGGCATGATGCGTAAAATTACAAACCAAAGGAAAGGAACTTCAGCTGTGCTCTAATCCCCATGACTTTTCCATCAAAAGTTAGCACAATTACAGGAGATCAGTCTTTTTATATGCTGTTGCTCCCAGGGGATGCTATTAGTAAGACACACTTAGGGAAACGGGGCAGGGAAAGGAGTCTTCTGATACTCTTTACAAGGTGATTTTCACATTAAAATGTCCACAGTCTTTGTCTTCTGTGTTTCTAATCAGTCTGTGGAAAGGTCCCTTTTTATGGGTTAGTTTCTGGACTCACTTGCAGAAGTGATGGTGGTTCACTCTTAGATTAGAATGTTTTTCAAAGTTGAACTGTGAGCAGTAAAAATTTACCTCCTCTCATCAAAAATGTCTGGTTTTCCTGGTTGTTCTGTGGTTGTTATTCATATCACTCTGATAACTTAAAGATGTCTTTGTACATATACAAAAATGGTTATGTACTAAGTGCTTGAATCATAAAATTACCTGTACTTTCTGTTAAAAGATTATAGTACATTTTATCAATGGAATGCTGGTAAACCAGCACTGCGGGTATGATAATGTGTAATGTTTACCAATTTCTGTGGTGTAAATATTCCCTCCAGGGCTCATTTCAAGCTACCAACAGTTTAACAGCATTCTACATTCCTACGGATCTAATAATTGGCTCTTCCAAGTCAGTAGGAACTAAGCTGAACACACCAATGAAACAATGGACAAGTCATAACTTTCTTAACTTGTGTACATATATAGTGAATTCACCTATAGTGGATTGCAATAGGTCCAGTAATGATTGAAAAAAGTAGATTGGGGTATATTAAATCTCTTGTTATATAGAGAAAAGATCATATAATGCGAACGACCCAAATGGAATTTGATTTGAAGCTATCCTATGATAGCTATTAGGTTATATACTATTTTCAAATCCTTTATAACAATATCATGGCAATATTTGAAGTGGCTGTTTGCTAACATGGCATGTTTACTTTTAAAATACCTCTCGTAAGGCATATGTAAAAACTAGTCATAGTATTTGAACTAAAATGCAAAAAGATACTTTCTGAAATGATGTTTTGGTTATTGTTACTAAAAGTTAATTTCTCTTACAGGGATTCAGGAAGGAACACAATGTACCAAATGTAAAAATAATTGGGCACTGAAGTTTTCTATCATATTATTATATATTTTGTGTGCCTTGCTAACAATCACAGTAGCCATTTTGGGATACAAAGGTAAGTACTTTTTCAATTAGCAAGTTTCCTTTATTAATTGAATGCACATATAGTGTTTCACTAATGCCTAAGTGCAAAATTTAGCAGCCCTATGAGCTCCATCTGTGTATCTTAAACTGCCTAAAGCTGTGGGATCTGAAGGGATGGAAGCAGCAATTCTTTTTGACTCAATTCAGCAACAGTAATGGCCCTCTGTTAAGTTATAAAGATTTCTCATCTTTGTTGCTTCTCCTAATTCCTATTTTTTTTCTTTTTGGTTTTATCTCTAAGAGGCCCTCCTGGACACCTCAGTTAACACACACCAAATACAAGATATTCAGAGATATGACTTACTTAACCCAGGGATTGACCAACTAATTCCTTTTTTCCTCTTCGGTACATTTACTGTGATCACTATTGTTCCATAAAAATATTGCCCTGTAGAAATTAAACACAGAGGCAGCACTGTCACCTTAGCTATACTTTATGGGCCACCAGGGATTCTTTCAGCCTGTCTGTTTTAAGCTCAGTGGATGATTTCTGCCGGAATCCTCCAGACCTGCAGATAAAGTGGGCTCCCATCCCGCTCCATTCTAGATGCCACAGGTAGGAAGTGTCGTGATTCAGAATCATGAATTACACAAAGCTTTATAGCAGACAGTTATGGAAACCTTCCTGTCAGAGACACGTAAGACAGACATCTCTGGCTTCAACAAGAGGCAGGTTTGGGATCTACTGATCTTCAGAACCTTCACTAGGCTGCCATCTCAGCTTCTTCCGCCAGAACTGACAGAGGAGCAATGGCGAATTCCCACACATTCCTCTCTGTTCTTTGTCCCATAGACTTGGCCTAGGGACAAAAAGATTCAAAGTGAATTCCCTCAAACTTGCCCCTCCCCCCCGCCCCGTGTTCAGTGGTTTCCTGAGGAAACACAGTATATTGGAAAGAAAATGGGCTTGGAGCCAGGAGACCCAAGTTCAATTCTTAATTCTGCCATTTGCGTGAATGTTAATTAAGTGCTTGCTGGCATGCCAGGCATCATACTAAGGCCTCTGCATGGCTCTGTAAGGAGCTATAACGAGTTAGAGTTTCCTGTTTCACCATCTGTAAAATGGAAATAGTAATGTCACTTTTCAAGGTTGTTATGATGAGCAAAGATGATGTAACTGAGTCACCTGTCCTACTTTTGGTCTCAGCATGGAGGCTATCTCTGTTACTTGCTTTCCGATGACTATATTTATACAGATCTAGCCACTAGAATGGCAACACATGTTAAAAATAGTAAAGTCTTGTTATCCTACCTATAAGACTATACCCAATTTTATGTGTATCCAGTAGTGTGCTGGTGGATGAATTTGGGTGATGGAAACCTGGAAGATTACCAGATCATTTTAACCATTTCTGAAGAGTTACTTTAATGTGGCATTAACTGTGTAAGTGCTGCGAAAGGCACCTGAATCATGATGCGGGCTGGACTGAGGCTGAGGATTGGGAAGGAACTTAGTAGAGAAAAGAGGATTTTTTTGTCCCAGTGAAGTCAGACTAGCTCTCCTCTTTTACCAGGTTACTTAGGTCATTAATTGACTTCTCTATAAAGTTTCCTATCAAACCCATATAAAAGAGAAGCTTAAAATAAAACAGCGATGGCCCTCCTTGGTGGTGCAGTGGGTTAAAGCACAGCACTAAGAAGCTAAAGCCACTTCTGCATGAGTTCAATTCCCGCCTGCCCCAGAGGAGACCACATGGCACAGCAGACCTCTCCTGGCCCGCTCCCTGCTCCCCTCAGCAGTGTACTTCATCAGTCTGCCTGTTCTGCTCCCCACTCTGTCTCTGGTGAAGACTCTCGCTGCCCCTGAGCCTCTGGCCTGTATCCCAGTTCTGTAGGCGCAAATAAATAAATCTTAAAAAAAAAAAACAAAAAAAAACAACAGCCACTTAGTATCTTTGGGCGTCAGTACTGTGTCACTTACTACAAAACAGAGATAAGGAGGGTTTGACAGAGAGGAGAAAGGTTTGCTATTTTGTAAGCTTTACCTCTGCAAGGAAGTAAGGTCAAGGAATTATGCTTCCAGAAGGATACAGAAAGACCCAAGGAAAAAAGTCCCTCAATCCTCCCCCCACACTATTTTTTGTTGTTTGCTTGTTATAAAGATACAGATAGCTCTTCCATATCTGTGACATTGGAAAACCCTCTCTATTCTGACATGAGTTGGGCCATTTGCCTGAAGACCTTTTCTGTGCTCTCCACCTAAATGGCACCTTCTTCCCCTTCATATTTCACTTAAAAGAGAAGCCCCTGAAGGCTGAGTAAGGTGCCCTTCTATTCGTTCCCAGTGGCGTCTTTTTACTCTTAGCCCGTCACACTGTATCATGTAGCCAGTGGGGTGCCCATCTTACCACCCTCACTATAACTTCCATGAAAACAAAAGACTTGTTATTTGTTGTCTCTCTGACTAGCACCTAGTCTTGAGGCAAGTAGCCAGTAAGGCTTACTGAGAGGATACATGGAAGGATGACTTGTGGATCAGGGCTGACCTCCCTAAGAGCTTCGACTGCTGCCCAGGGACCTCTGAGCTACCTGTTCATGGGGCACTGCTGTAACTCTAGGTCTTTCCTACAACCCTAAAATCCTGAAAGTCAGCCTGACCCACTCTGCAGTGTAATCTGATCAGGATGAAGTGGAGAGAGTTTGAGGGAGCAAGACAATTGCCCCTCTTTTCTCTCCTTCAAGTCCCCATCCCTTAGGCCTTTAATGACAAAAATAAGATAATATAACATGTAATTTGGGTTTCCAAATACAGTCTTAATGAACTAAAATGTTGATATATTCCAGATGTGTTTTCTCTTTACTTATGTGATTCCTCTTTCTTGCTGATAAGATTCTGGTGACCCAGCATCCTAAGAGACAGAAAGATAAAACCTATTCTCCCTTCACATAACTCCCTTTGAAGTCTAGAAACACTGTATTAAAAAAGAAGAAGAAAAAAGAATATTCAGTAAAAGAAGATATTTCTCTGAAGCAGTTGAAAGGAAATGAAACAAATTCCTTTATCAGTTAGCAAAGTCAGTTTCATACTGTTTTCAAAAAAACTTCTTTACTTCTCCTTGAATAGCACAACTACAAGTCAGTATATAACTAAGTTCCTTCTAGAGATTTGCTAACCAAGTCAGAATACTGCCAAGTTGCTCAGACAGGGCGTGACCATGAGACTCGGCAGCTACTTTACATATCCCTGGACAGTTATTGCCTGGTGCAAACTCTGCTTTGGACTTTTATCATCAGTCATGGGGGCTTTCTTGGTATAAGCCATGTCGTATGTCCAAGGGCCTCTGTTTCCTCCAGAACATTCCCTGAGCTGGAAAATACTCATTTGTTCTACCTATCAGGGATCCATCTTAAGGTAAAATTAGGATAAAGGGGACAGAAATCTAAGCCTTCCTTAATAGGAAGGAAAGGAGGGGGAGAGAGAGAGAGAGAGAACATTTAGTGAAAGAAGACATTGATGAATGACTTTAACATTCCTAGTCCATGAATGTCTGCCTTGCTGCTAAGCTAGCTTGCTGACAAAGAATCAATGGCAATTGGATAAAAAGGCTTTCAAAATGTGCACCAGCTCTTGCTAGAATCTAGGATTAACACCCCCACTGCCACATCTTCTGTGTTTTTGAATGAAACTGAAAATTGGGTTCAAAGTAGAAATGTCTTTATTGCATATTCTATGGGAATGTAATTAATATTACTGGGAAGTCCCAGCGAGTTTCCAGACAGGCTGGTGGACATTTGTGAACAGGAGTCAGGAGCTCTGTATTCTGCTTTTGCTCCCTGCCCTCAAGCCCTATGCCCATAAGTTAAATGTCTCTTGTTCCTTGGTGTTTAAACTGTGTCAGCCACTAGGAAGATACTTAATAAAAGCTGAGGAAGATGACTTTACAAAGATGATAAAGAGGACATAATCCTACCCACCAACGATTTTTAATCGAGGAAAGCAGATTTAGGAAAAAGAAGTGATGAATGATGTGCAGCTAGAGAGAAAGCAGATTCTGGAGGTTGATCTCTTGGCCTGCTTCCCACTTAGTCACCAACAACCTGTGTGACTCTGGGCAACGTTACTGAATATCTCTGAATCTCAATTTCTTCGTTTGTAAAAAAAAAAAAAAGTGTAACTGCAGTGGTGGTGTATTCTGAGGGAATACAGCTAACATTACTGGCATTACTGGGAAGCCCCAGGTACTTACAAAGAATGAGCATTTAGTAAGTCCTGGCTGTGATTATCCCAAAGTACTTTTGTGAAAATATCCTGGAGATAGAGGCTTTCTGTAGGTGATGAGAGACTGCTCTTAAGTGTAATACCTAAAATGTTGCTATTCTGCAGAAAAATTCTTTGGTTGAAAGAAAAGTTTTCCAGTAAGGGGCCATCCATGAAAAAAGAAAAAAAAGACATGCTATTAATAACTCTTCTGTGTTCCCTAGTCCCCTTCTTCTTGTAAGGAAGAGCTACAAACTCTGTAGCTGTAGCTGTAGGTCTGTACCCAGGGACCGGGAGTCTCTGGGGATAGTGAAGGCTAGTGTGATCCTGCCAGTTTTCTAGCCAGGAGTAACACGCAAACGTATGCGCTATGACAGCAAGTGTTGCTTCTGGATCTCCCTCAGTCTAGTATTTTTATGCAGTAGCCACCCTAAGGTTTGCAACTCTGTACCCAGATCCTATTTTTAAACATAGACATACACACCCCAGTGGGCTGGGCAAATACTTTCTCTGCTGCACTAAAGAAAATCTTAATAGGTTAGGGGGGTTTTTTGGTAATTTTTAAAGTAAATGTATTTGTTTCTTTTACCCTACACAAGTCTGAATGTTCTGTCCACACAGTTGTGTGTTTTTTAAAACTAAAATGGAAGAAAAATTAGAGAGGGTGGAAAATGACTGTCAACATATTTAGAGGTTTTATTGGCTTCCAAGAAAAAGGGGAGGATGTCAGTTCCTGTGTGTGGTTTGAGGACAGACTGAAGCATGTGTTTTGATTTGAGGATCAAAACAGAACCTAAACTTGTAAACATTCCATATTTTTACTTTTTAAAAGTTTTGTTTTGCTAAAATGCCAGTGAAACATTTTGTTCTTTAGAGTTTCCAGGAATGGAGGAGTATGTGTGCCTATCAAACAGCCTTAAAGTGAAAAGTATTTTAGCTGTACCTCTGTGCCTATATAGTCATTTTCAGAAGAGCTGATTACTGAGGAAAATGTTGTATTCATTGCTCGTGCTAAGACTTCCCTGGGCTGATTAGTCAGTATGTTATTTGCATGACCTCTAGCTCCAGTGATTTTTCACAGGTCTTGGCAAACAGCAGGCAGATTCTTATTTATTCATTTAAATGGCATGATACATACCTACTAAGTGCCATACACTGAGCTGAGAGTTGGAGATAAAAAATGAATATGAATTTTCCTGCCCTAAAAAGATCTTACAGTAAAAAAGCATTGATGACATAGAAGCCAGTGCTATGAAAGGGAAATACTTGCCAAGAAAACTTCCAGCAAAGGCTTTCCACAGGCAGTGATGAGATGAGTTTTAAAGGGCAGTAGAACTTAGCTAGGTAAAGAGACTAGGGGAGGATGTTCTCGGTGGAGAGAAGAAACACATGGAAAAACTCAGGTGAGAGGGTGCACTCCTACTGCATACATTTCATTTCACCCAAATTAGGAACCAGAGGGAGAACAGAAGGTTCTCTACGGGAGGGAAGGGGCCACGAACCATGGAACTAGTTTGCTTCAGATCACACAGACACTCGGAAATTTACTTTATTTTCGTTCTTTTTTATTTAAAGATTGATTTATTTATGTACACAGAACTGGGGTACAGGCCAGAGGTGCAGGGGCAGTGAGAGGATTCACCAAGGGGCCGGGGATCCAACTCACACTGAAGCAGCTGCAGTAGCTTGCAGTGCTTACATCTTTCACCCATTGTACCACCAGGGAAGGCCAGAAATTTATTTTTTCCTGTTAGGAGCCAGGAGAATCTCATAGAGGACGTACTTGATGAATAAAATAAAATGGATCTATTGGATCACAGTAAGCAAAGCAGAGTCACATTTAAAAAGTAAAGCCATATTTTAGTGCTGTGCTTTAACCCACTGCGTCACCAGGGAGGGCCAATAAAGCCATATTTTAAAAGCTATTGATACCAAGGACAACAGGCTCTCACGTAGCAGTCGGTTTTAGAGAATAGTTTCTGACTAGATGTTGTAGAAAGAAAACTTGAATTCATACCCATGGGAATAGCTATCTTTAAGAACAAGAATAGAGGTTTTTATTTAACATCATTAACTGTCCCTGTCATGTTCCATCAGTTAATGCTTAAAAACAACTATTGGTTAATTATGCTTGGAAACCCAATTAGGAATCCTATTGGGAACTGAAAAACTAGTGTCACATGTTACTAAAGAGAAGCAGATCTGTGGGTCTCAGTGATGGGACTCGTAAGAGTGACCTTTGTATTCCTTTTATCTTGACTTGGAATACAGATTTGAGCTAGATGCTCTTTGCTGTGGAATCTCCTTCTAAATAAATGAGCCCTACCTGCCAGAAATGGTAGGGAGTCTGATAACTAATAACATTTTGGAAATTATCCTAAAGATATTGCCTCTAACTTATGGTAATTAATATAGGAATTCATGCAGAATTAAGGACTTACATAAAAGTTTACAAATTAGTTCCAAACTAGTGGATGGGGATATAGCCAAGGCAACATAGAATACTAAGAATGATTGACATACAACTGTCATGTAAATGACATCACCCTGTATTTATCTTTCTCTTCTGGCTGATTTCACTTAGCCTAATCCCTTCTACTCCATCCCTGTTGCTGCAAATGGCATGAATTTATCTTTTTTGATCGCTGAGTAGTATTCCATTGTGTATATATGTCACTTATATGTGGAATATAGAAATACCAAACAAAGGATCAAAGACAAACTTTAAAGCCAGTCCTCAAAAACTGGTCATAGAGCTTTAGCTTTTTTTTTTGGGGGGGGGGAGAGGGAGGCAGGGTGACACCGTGGCAAGGGGAGCACTTTGGTTGGGGACTGTGGGTGCTTAGGTGGTAGGAGTGCTATGGTGACTACATCCCAAGGGGGGAAATCCTGCACTGTTACAGCACCAGCAAGGATGTAAAAGAATGGTACCACAATAACTATTTGCAAAATTAATTAAATGGTTTTAAAAAAGAACATACAATTTTCAGCCAAGTAAACCATCTTCCACTGGTTTTTGTGACCAATTATTTTTCCAAAAGAATAGCTTTTCCCCAGTATTTGGTTCAACTGACATTCTTTTGTTTTATGTTATTCTGACATCTTTTAATAAAATCCTTTGTTGAAACTGAAAAAAAAAATGACCAATGTGTGTATTAATGATTGATTTCCAAATCTTAGTTGTAGAGAAAATGGACAACGTAACAGGTGGCATGGAGACATCTCGCCAAACCTATGATGACAAGCTCACAGCAGTGGAAAGTGACCTGAAAAAATTGGGTAATCTGCAACAAGAGTAATGATAAAATTGAATCCCCTGACTCTACGTAGTATAAATGACATAGCAGTTTAGAATGACATTACTATAAACTCAGTTTAGAATGACATTACTATAAACTAGAAGTACGTTATTTTTTGGTATTGTGTACTAAATCATTTTTCACTATTTAATTCAAGGACTTTTAAATTTTAAAGTTCACTTCGGAATTGAACCCCAGCCCCAAACCACTGTATGTGCCAAATAAAATCCAAAGACCAAGCCTGAGCAAAACCACTAATATCCCTTATTAAACTTCCTTTTATAGGCTGCTCTGTAAATTCCAATTTAAATTATTTTAAACTACATAGAATTATGATTAATTTTTTAAGTGAAAAATTCTAGCCTATTCTCTCATTTGATTTTTTATTGTAGATAGGTGGATTTTACTAATGCAGAGCACCTACATAGACCACAAAATTTGTATTTGAAATTCAGTGCGTATCTGTTAAGTCTCCAGAGCCTTGAACCTCACCTGAATATTTCTCTGTATCAGCAAATTAACAAATATGTCTTATTCCAGGAGACCAAACTGGAAAGAAAGCTTTAAGCACCAACTCAGAACTCTCTACCTTCAGATCAGATATTCTCGATCTTCGTCAACAACTTCGTGAGATTACAGAAAAGACCAGCAAGAACAAAGATACTCTGGAGAAGTTACAGGCCAGTGGGGATGCACTGGTAGACAGGCAGAGTCAACTGAAAGAAACTTTGGAGAATAACTCTTTCCTTATCACTACAGTAAACAAGACCCTCCAGGCGTATAATGGCTATGTCACTAATTTGCAACAAGATACCAGTGTGCTGCAGGGCAATCTGCAGAGCCAAATGTATTCTCATAATGTGGTTATTATGAACCTCAACAACCTGAACTTGACCCAGGTACAGCAGAGGAACCTCATCACTAACCTGCAGCGCTCTGTGGATGACACGAGCCAGGCTATCCAGCGAATTAAGAATGACTTTCAAAATCTACAGCAGGTTTTTCTTCAAGCCAAGAAGGACACTGATTGGCTAAAGGAGAAAGTACAGAGTTTGCAGACATTGGCTGCCAATAACTCTGCATTGGCCAAAGCCAACAATGACACGCTGGAGGATATGAACAGCCAGCTCAGCTCCTTCACAGGTCAGATGGACAATATCACCACAGCCTCACAAGCCAATGAGCAGAACCTAAAAGACCTTCAAGATGTACATAGGGATGCGGAGAACAGAACAGCCATCAAGTTCAACCAGCTGGAGGAACGCTTCCAGCTCTTTGAGACGGATATTGTGAACATCATCAGCAACATCAGTTACACAGCCCACCACCTGCGGACGCTAACCAGCAATCTGAATGAAGTCAGGACCACTTGCACAGATACCCTGACCAAACACACAGATGATTTAACCTCCTTGAATAACACACTTGCCAATATCCGTTTGGATTCTGTTTCTCTCAGGATGCAACAAGATATGATGAGGTCAAGGTTAGACACTGAAGTAGCCAACTTGTCAGTGATTATGGAGGAAATGAAGCTGGTAGACTCCAAGCATGGTCAACTTATCAAGAATTTTACAATACTACAGGGTAAGAGAAAATTCTGAATTGACCTGTACCTGTATAACAAGTTACCCTTATGTTTGCAATTTAAGATAATGAAGATTTATTATCTGTTTCTGTTTATCAGAAGTTCAGAAGTGGCTTAGCTGGGTGGTTCTGCTTCTGTATGTCTCACGAAGTGGGACATGGTCGGGGCTGCAGCTTTACTTGTGGTTGGAGGAGCTGATCCCGTAGTGCCTGGTCTCTCAGTTCCTTGTTGGCTGTTGGCCGAAGGTCTTGGTTCCTCACCTTGCGAGGACTTGAATGTTCTCACAATGCGGCAGGTGGCTGTCTGCAGAGCAGGTGGTCTGAGAGATGCAAAAGGAAGTCACAATACCTGTTATGACCTTGCCATCACTTCCACCATAATCTGTTCTGTGTAAATAAGTCACTGAGTACAAGCCATGTTTACAGAAGAGGAGTTAAGTTCTACACCTTAAAAAGAGATAGAACTTAAAATTTGTGGGTACTCAAAGAAGCTTCACTAAATATTAAGTAAAAGATTGGTTAATTAGAGTTTTCTCAGGACCCGAGTTATTTCAATGCCATTATAAACTTGGCTTCTTGGAAAGGAAGATTAATTCTTTTAGCTCATTAGGATATTCCTGTCTCCTGGTTCATAGGTGAATTGGTGGTGGGAATTGTACAGGGACTACACCTGAGAGGAGAAAACTTACACTGTACAAAAATGAACAGCGAAAAAAAAAAAAAAATGAACAGCGATGTTAAATTAATATTAATTATAAAAAAAAGACATTCCTGTTTCCAAGTCTCATAAGCAGAGGAACACAGTAAGCCTAAGACCACAGAGGAGGAAAATTATATGACTTGTATATAAAATCTGAATTTCACTCTCATCCACGTCATTCATATAAATAGAAAGACATTGGTTTAGACTAAATCAATTTTGAAAGATTTTCAGTAACTATTAATAGCTTTGTCAGCCATAAAATACTGGTCAGGATTTAAATTGAAGGTACTGTGTGGAAGATGTCGTGCTTAGCACTGGGGAGTATACAGACCAGATGGTCTTTGACCTTGCGTAGCTTAAAATCAAAAGAACTTCAAGAAGTCATAGACTGACTGTAAGCAAGAGTAGTATTGATTTTCAAATGGGGGGAGGGAGAGGAAAGACCTATTCTATACATTATAGAATGGGTCTTTGTCTCCAGCCCCAAAAGTAGTTGAGAAGAGACCATCAAAACAGATCATTTATGAGCTTTCAGCAAAGTAGCCATCATTAGAATCCATTAGGAAGAATGCAAAAAGGAAGCAACAAAGAACGTAAGCTTATTTCTTCACATTAACAGAGTTAAAGGGTTGTTTAAACTAGGAAATGTTTAAACAAAAAATAATCTGGATTTCAGCATAGCATTTGGCAGTGAAACCTTAAGAACAAGATAGAGAAATAGGAACTAGGTTATGGGACAGTTAGATGGATTTACTGGCTGTATTAGGGTTCTATACTGCTTAGTGAACTACTGAATATTTTGATTTTATATAATGTTTCTTATAAAAATGGATGTTGCCTGAAAGTATAAGGCTTTTCTAAGTTATAGAAGATGAACAATTAAATCAGAGGTATTGGAGGTGTGAGCCAACTCTGAATAAGGGTGGTTCTTCAAATATTAAGAAAGTTCTTTAGTGCTTGATCTGTGTTATTTCCCCCCAATCATGTCTCACCGTAAATTCATAACGAGGCAGATCTCATCCAGTGTATAACCTCATACACTAAGAGCTTTCTAAATTTCTTTTGAAATTGTAATACAGTCAAGGGTGGCTTAACAACTGGGATATATTCTGAGAAATATGCTGCTAGGTGGTTTTTTCATCACGTGAACACCATAACTTCTACACATAGAGGGTATAGCTGACTCCACGCCTAGCATCTGGGGACCAGGAGTCCATGTAGTACATGTGGTCTATTGTTGACCAAATTGTTGCAGTACAGCACATGCCCAGAATTAGGTGATCCATTCAAATTCTGGGTATTTTCTAGCAGATTTTGTAGTTTGTTAGCCTGTCTCTTCTACAGGGAACTATATGACATGTTTAGTCTACAGTGTAGCTCATTAGCTGAGGGGTATATCATAGTTGAAGATTTCACAACCACTTAAGTTAATATCACCATTACTAAGATTTATTTTTATCAGCAAATATTGAGTGTGGATGTGCTGATTATTTTTCACAAATCACCCCAGAGTCCTGACAACTCTATTATGTAGGTACTTAGATCATCCCCAAATATAAATAAGGAAAACTATTCAGGCTTAGATTTAAGAAGCATTCTCAAATTTACAGAAATAATAAATGTCTAAACAGGATCTGAGCACATATTGTCTGACACCAGAAACTATTAATAATTATCGTTAGTTAATATTTTAGTAATTATTAATAATCACTAAAAATGAGTGCCCCTCATTTATGTCCCCACTTCCTGCTGGAAGGGCCTGTGAGGATAAGGAGTTAAGGTTTCAAAATGAGTGTGGGGAGGGGGTTAAAAAGGTGGTGACATAATCTGATTTATATTTTTAAAAGGTCATTCTGAGTGCTTGAGGGAGAACAGACTATGGGTAAGGGAGCAGAGAAACAGGGCTTCAGTGAGTCTACCAAGCATGGGTGAATTGGAATGGGATGGTAATCAGTGGAGGTGACAGAAGTGAGTTGACCTGGAAAATTTCTCAAGCCAACCAAGGTGTCTCCTTTCTATTCAGTCCACTCAATGTCTTCCAAAGCATTCTTCTTCTTGTGTAATGCCTACCAGGTACCCCGGCAGAAGAGAGACTGAATTCATGTCCACATACTTCCTCTCTTCTCATACCGCTGTCATCCCTGAGTAAAAATGGGATAAAGCAGGAGGAAGTAGGACTGGACTAACAGCTGCTTATGTTGTGCTTGCCTCTAAAAGATTCAAAATATGATTACATTTTCCTTCCAGAAAATTCTAATTGACTCACATTAAGGAATCCTAATTCGTAAGTACAGTTAAGTCATATAAGATATTTGCCTCATTAAGAAGAAAGCTGACTATGACCAATGGCACTAAAGCCACGTGGTAAGGTGGAAATAGATATGAAAATCACCTGTAGAATCTCAGCAGCAATTATTTCTACATCCATAAATCAATACATCTTGTTAAAAGCCTTACTTTAAAACATATAATGTAAAGACTTTTACCCTCACATAGTTCATAACTACTAGGGCATACTCTTGGGTAGGAAGTTTACCTCACATCCTGAACTTTTATTCTGCAAGGCAGGAGACTGTTACACCCCCTTAGTGCATTGAAAAGGTTCCTCATTTGCTCTCCTGAGAAAGGCATAGGATTTAGGAGTTCTGGGATTGGACAGATCTGAATAACAATTACAAGTCCTCATCTTCTCTGTCTTAACTTTCCTTGCCTGTCTCTAGAATGTATTTTAACTGCTTTGAGTTATTTGATATGATAATGTAAATAAAGCACCTAGTACAAAGCCTAGCAGAGGGTTAGCTAATATTCAGGCACAGTGTAAATCCCGCTCCTATCTAAGATTTCCCTCTGATACAACCCAGCTAATATATTATGGTGAAAAACACCAGGTTCCTGAGCGCAAGGAGTAAAACTGTATAGATAGGGTTAAGGTCGATAGATGCTAAAGTACTTACTGCTTGGATTCTGACTCTTAGCCCTGGAGAGCCACATCCAGGTTGGTGCCACCAACAGGTAGCTATCATTCATTCCTTTAATCCTCACTTGTTGAGTATGCCAGTCACATGCCCAAGCATTTTGGATGAATTGCTTTCATTGTTAAATCTCTTTTAGGTAAAAATTATTGGCGTTTCCCATTCTCAGAGGAGGGACCTATGGCACAGAGCGCCTGCATAACCTATCCAAGGTCAGGCAGTGCTAACCTGTTTATTTCCAGACCCATGCTTCCAAAGCCTCCTGCCATCCTATGGCAATTTATGAGAACACATGACACATTTGGGGACTAAAGTACAGGCTAATGTATTTCTAAGACAGCAGTCGATTAAGGTTCCCATAAAAGATTTGAGCTGGAATTGAAATATGAGCTGGAAGGTTGAAAGGCCAGGGAACAACGCAGGATGGAGACAAAGCAAAGTGGATCAGGAACAGCTTCAGTTTCTCTCATTGTTCACCCTACACCTTTTTGATAAGTTTTCTCAAACAAGACTGTTCATCTAGGGAACCTTGAGAGCAGGTATTCTGAGGCCTAGACATAGGCCAGATGGTAAGAAACAGTGAAATACCAGCAAGGCTGCTGATATAGGATCATTATGATGAAATAAATTTTACTTACATATAAAAACTTCTAAAAATCATTAAAAATACAATTCTCAAAACAAAAATAGGCATGTATAAATTTAATGATGTGCATTTACAAAATTATAAAACTTAGCCAAAAGCAGTAATGAAAACATATAAGTGAAAGATACTAATACTTGATATTGTACAAGATGTCAGTTAACTGCAATTGACATATTAACATGTGTATATTAATGGTAATTATATTCAGTGCAGTTACAAAATCCTGACAGAATATTTTATGAAATCTCAAAAGCATATCTAACAAAGGCTAAAGATAAAGACACTGCAAATAAGTTGGGAAGACTTAATCTACCATATGTCAACTTACTATAAAGCTACCATGTGTATTTTCATTAAAATGGTTAAATATATCTCTGTGGACAAAGAGCTTCCATGGCTTTCCAGAAGTTTAACATGAGGTCAAGGATAAATTGTTTTTCCATTGCCAAATATATATGTGTGTGTGTGTGTGTGTGTGTGTATTAAAAAAGAGGTAACATTGGCTTACAACACTGATCACTGATTGTGTTTTAGAGTTACAGGACCTCTCTTCAGCACCCACCAGCTAAGCACCCAAATCCACCAACATAGTCCATTGTGCTCCTCTGCTGCTTTGTACTCACCTCTGTAGTCTCAGTTCTAGTGTCAAGTTTCTAGGAGTTGTAATTACTTTGACTTC